GACACCTAAAGTACCAGCAACAAAATTAAAAATAAGCAAGTGGGACTCCATCAGACCACAATGCTTCTGCACAGCAAAAGAAACGACCAACCACGTGAAAATGCAGCCTAGGGAATGGGAAAAAGTATTTGCAAACCACATGTTTGACAAGGAGTTAATATCCAAAATATGTGAAGATGTTCGAAGAGAAAAAAAACACCCACAAGTAATCCAATGAACACATGGGCAAAGAATCTACATAGACATTTTTTTAAATCCTCACCTGAGAACATTTTAAAATTTGTTTTAGAGAGAGAGGGAGAGAGAAAACATCGAGTTGGCTCCCAAACCGAAGACATAACCTGCAACCTAGGTATGTCCCCTGACTGAGAATCGAACCCACAACCTTTCGGTTATGGGATGACACCCCAACTAACTGAGCCACACCGGCCAGGGCTGAATAAACATTTTTCCAAAGAAGATATATAAATGGACAATAGATACACGAAAATATGCTCAACATCATTAGTCGTCAGGAAAATGCAAATCAAAATTACAAGATGCTGGTTCACACCTTTGAGAATACGGTCTCCAAAAAGGCGAGATAACAAGTGTTGGGGAGGACATGGAGGAAAGGGGGCCCCTGTTCACTGTCGGTGGGATTGTAATTTGGTGCAACTGCTATGGAAAACAGTACAGGGGTTCCTCAAAAAATTAAAAAATATAGAACTACCATATGATCCAACATTTCTATGTCTGGGTATGTAACTGAAGAAATTAAAACTATGTTGAAGAGCTATGTACACCCCAAAATTCAAAGCAGCATTACAATAGCCAAGTGATGGAAATAACCAAAGTGTCCACCAACACATGAATAGGGAAAAAATTGTGATATAGACAATGAGACATTATTCAGCCATGAAAGAGAAGGAAATCCTGCCATTTGTGACAACATGGATGAAACTTAAGGACATTATGCTAAGTGAAATAAATTAGATAAATAATGTCTCACTTACATGGGAAGTGTTAAAAAAAGCCAGACTCATATTAAGAGAGATCAGACCTGTGGCTATCAGAGGCAGGGTGCGGAGGGCGGGGAAACTGGGTGAAGGTGGTCAAAATGTACGGATTTCCAGTTATAAGATAAATAAGTAGTGAGGATGTAATATGTAACATGATAATTATAATGTAACAATGCTTTCTAGTCGATATGAAAGTTGTTAAAAGAGTAATCCAGAGAGTCCCCATCACAAAGAAATAAATCCTTTTTCCATTTAAAAAAATCTATGAGATGATGGATGTAACTAAAATTGTGGTAATCATTTCACAATATACTTAAGTCGTGATGTGCACCTTGAACTCACGCAGTGCAGTATGTCAATCATGGGTCAGTAAAACTGGGCTGAGGGAGGCTGAGTAACTTGTAGAAGGCCACATGGCTAGACTCAGGAGAGACCAACATTCAAACTCAGTGCTGTCTGATCCAAAAGCCAAATATGGCTAAGGACATTGCTCTGTACTCTGTTCTTGATGAGTACCCATATTGCTTCTTAAGAATAGTGGCAAAGGGGCCTTGGTAGGGTGGCTTGATTGGTTGGAGCATCATCCGCACACCAAAAGGTTGCGGGTTCAATCCCTGGTGAGGGCACATACCTAGGTAGCGGGTTTGATCCCTGCTTGGGGCCGTACAGGAAGCAACCAGTTGATGTTTCTCTCTCTCTTCCTCTCCCTTCCTCTAAAATCGATAGAAATATTCTCAAGCAAGGATTAAAAAAATAGTTGCAAACGTAAGAGTTGTATTTTACTAAGAGACCATTCTCCTGGAGGGTGGAGCCTGGGATGGGACAGGCCAGGGGCATGTGGGTGATTGATGCCTATATTTACGTCCAGTGTTTCATTGCTGGTGCTCATCCCACGTGCACTCACAAACTTCTTACTGAACACAGCTGTTGTGGAGCCTCGCAAGGAAAGCTGCACCAGTTTTCACTGTGTAGCTGATTAACTACTCCAGCTGTGCCTACAGGGTGCCGCAGAGGGCAGCAGGCCCCGCCCCTGACTTTTCGGTGCACCAAATGGGGAGTCACCTTCCTAGGTCTGCTAAAAGCTCCTTGCTGCGCCTGGTGCAGCCCCAACCTCCTGCCTTAAAAGGCTGATTTCAATCCAACTACAAGATTCTTCCTCTTTGCCTGGAGGGACAAACCGTGCATCCCCCCACAGAAGGTGTACCACACTCCCAAAGAGCTGACGGCAGAGAAAAGCTGGAGTTACGGGCAGCACTGCTCCACAGCTCAGTTTCTGTTTGAGATGCCAAGTGTCTCCCACCCCCTCTGCTCTCCGGGCAGAGAACTCGCCGGGAAGCCCAGGTGTTGGCTGAAGCTGCAATTGCTCCGGTTCTCAGGGGGCACAGCTCCCACTGGCTCTACTCTGGCACCGAGGCTGAGTCCGTGTGGGGTGGTCCTCGGGTCCCCGTTCTCCCGGAGACCTTGCCCTCCTGGTGTGCTGAGAAGCCCAACCTGCCCACTCGGCCTCTGGGCCTTGTGCACTCACGATGCAGCCTGTCCTCCGCACCAGCGGGACAAGAGCCGACAGAAGGCAGCTTACACACGTTTGGTGAGAAGGAACCATCTTATACAGTGACAGCTCTCAGCCACAGCAGCCTTCCAGCCCACTTTAGCTTATCCAGTGTCTGGTTTCAACCTTTAGAACAGTCAGGTCCTGACCGGCAATAAAACTCCCGCTTTGGGACTAAGCTTCATCTCCTCCGGGCCCAAGGGTCACTGCTCACCCGGTCCCCGCACACCTTCCCATCTGCTGTTCTCCCTCCTCCACGCGTCTCCCGTCTCCCGGAGCGACAGCCTGCCCGGTGGCGTGGCGCACCCTGTTCCCCGAGCCCCTCGGTGCTCCTCAGGTCTGGCCTCAGACACCACCCACTGGCCCGGGACAGCACTGTGGGCTCCCGTGCTCAGTATGGAAGATGTACATACGGCTACAGAGAATCAATAAAAGTACTTTTATGGTCACCAGACATTGCAACTTCCCACACGGTGCAGCTTCCCAGAAGCCTTTTGGAAGTCGGTGTCCGGGGGCTCAGCACTGCACGAGGGTGCGGCCAGAGGGGGCCGAGTAATCGCCTCCCCAGGTGGGCACGCAGACTATGAGCCCACTGTTCTCGGGGGCAATGACTGGGAGCTCATTTGCTGCTATGGACACTTACTGACAGGGCCCGTCAGCTCCGACTCTTCAAAGGAGTCAAAGCGCACTGACGGAAGGCCTTTCAGCGGGCAGCAGCTGCGGGCCTGACGTGGTGAAGCGCACGGGCTTGCCTAGAGCCCGGCTCGCAGCTGAAATGCCTCCTCAGAAGTTCCTCTGGGACGGCAGCCAGCGCACGCCCTCGCAGGACGCCCCAGGGAGGGCAGCAAGGACCGATTAGGCCTGTGGCTTCAGACGCAGACGGTCTCAGCTCAAGGCCAGGGCTGGCACTTAGGAGCTCCGTAACTTGCTGGGGGGATGAGCCTCACTGTGCTCCAGTCTCCTCGCCTGGGGAATGGGGCAAGAAGAGGACGTAGCTCTCAGGGTTAGTGTGGGCACTAAGGGAGTTAATTCTACGTGTAAAACTACTGGGTGCAGCGCCTGGCACGCGAGCCCCATGAATGCCAACTACTGGCACTACCAGTAACAACAATGTGCCCTGTAAGGCGAGTGTGAACGCCCTCCAGGCAGCCCTCCCTCTCCCGCCTGCCTCCACAGGTTATCTTGACCACAACCAACACTGTCTTTACTGGGAGCCTGGGGTAAGGCCCTCGGACTTGAGTCAGGCACAGCTTCAAGGGCTAGATCTGCACCTCTAGGACAAGGTGTGTGTCCTCCCTGAAATCATACGCTCGTCTGAGAAATGGGGACGCTCACCCCCATCATGACAGCTACCAGGTGAGGCTGGGAGAGCAAAGGTATGAGACGACCTTGTCAACAGCCAAGTGCTGGGACAGACATTGAGGACACACCAGAGGCCGTGCAAGGGCTCTGGGCTGGGCCGTCTTTGGCACAACAGACGCTGGGGCCGCCCGCTGCCTGGACCTCACAAGAACCACTCCCTCCCATTCCCCCCTCCAATCCCTGCAGACAGTAGGTGCTCCAGCCCTTTTATCTCTGGACCGGGGCGTTGATATGTGGCGCACCTGTGCTCACAGTGACTGGCCGGCTTTGTTCCCCCTTCAACCTTCCTCTCGCTGGAGACCGAGGCCACGTGACTCGCACCTGTGGGCGCCCGTGCAGCCCGCCCCTGGGCCCTGGCCAGAGCTGCAGTGCGGCCCACAGTGTGAAGGAGAGTATGAGATACGTAAAAACTGCAGCCAAGGACTCCCCCAGTGCCCCCACGAGTGCCCCCTGGAGGTACCTGGCTCAGCCTTTCGGGAAGTCTCACCTCTCCTCCAGCACCTGCCCCACGTTCGGAGCGTGAGCGAAGCTCACACAGGTTTTTGTAATAAATTTCAGTTACTCGGCTGCCCCTGTCCAGACTCTGGTTTGGGTAATTGGGGTATGACTAATTCCTGGATACTAGACAAGAAAAATAAAATAGTTTATGTGTGTAGGGCTTTAGAATTTATGAAGCACACATCATCTCATTCTACGGCCTGTCGTATAAACAGGACAGGGGCAGGCATTGTTAAATCCCATTTTCCGGGTGAGGAAACTGGGGGCCAGGGAGGCCAAGTGATCTGCCCGAGGTCAGATAACCTGTCAGAGCTTCGCCTGAAACTCGGGCTTCCTATTTCCACACCGAGGGCCTTTTTCTTTACAGCAGGCGATCCTGGGTGCTATCCCACCTTTCTTGGCAAAAGCACCTTTTGTAGGTGCACCTTAGGTAGTTGACCCAGTGTACATTACGAGGACCTACAAGTGTGAATTCCATGGGTAGGCTCAATTACATTGGCCGTGTCACGCCAGCGCATGGAACTCACTAGAAAACACAGGAGAGCACAGGGGGTGTCGTGTTAGGGGTGTGGGGCACCCCAAGTCCTCACCTTCTCCAGGCCCGCTGGATGACTGCTGCCGCCCTGTTCTTCTTGCGAAACAGCTCTTTCCTGCTTCTCTCTCTCTGGATGATCTGCAGCCGCAGCTCTACAGGGAGCAGGTCGATATTCACGCTCTGCCCGGAGAGGGGACCGGGAGCTGGATTAGTCTCCTTAGGTGTCGCAGCATCCTCAGACAGGGTGGATATGCCCAACTTGCTGACCCCTGACCTCAGCATCTCGGTCCCCTGTGGCAAATCTGAGAGGCTCTCTCCTTCGAGCTTGTCCTGCGTGACTTTGTTCCTTGGTGTCCGGTGGTGGAGAGGATTCTGCCCGGCATGGAGCACCTCCCCCTTGGCGCTGCCAGGCCGGCTGGAGCCAGCTGGGGAGCACCTTCCTCCTCTGAGCTCTTGGATGCGCCTTTTCTGGGCGGCACATTTGGCCTTGGGTGCTGCGTCGTGCCGCCTGCTGGCCTTCCGGTGACCGTCCTGCTGCGGAAGGCTTGTAGCTGCCCAGCCGGGGTCCTCTCCTTTCTCATCAGGCCCGGCCACCCTGATGCAGGAGGGCTGCTTCGAGGAGCCTTTCCCCTTGTCACACGGCTGCTCGCCGACCGTCTCACCTCTGGACTTGTCTGCGGAGGTGGCTCCCGGACACCTGTCTCCATCGGCGCCTTCACTGGGGCTGAAGTGGACACAGGCAGACCGGCTCTTAGGATGTTCTCTGGAGGTTTCTTGGGGAAACAAGAAAAAGGGGAAAGGATATTTATTGTTCAACACTTGCATGATAGGGCAGGTCTGCCTGTTGATGTACATAAAAGATTCAGCCGTGTCCTACAGCATTACTACGATAGTGGTGATTATTAGAAAAACATTTTAACTTCTATTTCTAGCAAGAGTAGGTTTTATAACCTGAAAGCTTTCCAACTACAAGCACCTAGAAACGCTGGTTAAAATATAGTGAAAATCCTTTTAAAAGCTCCAGAGTGCCTTCGAGACAATCAAGGTAACCTCCGGGGGCCCAAGACAAAGAGCACACTGAAATCGGAGCGGTCGCTGTGTGCCCTGACCTGGGCAGGTGGTAGGGGTGGAGTGGCCATGGGCTGGCTTCACTGAACATCTGGCTGTGGCCTGACACCCAGGTGAGAACAGAAGGTGAGGACTTGCAGGGAGAAAACTGCATGAAGCCAGGACTCGGCGGTGGGATGCCCTTGGGAAACAATAGTCCAGGTAAAAGATCTGCTTGCCAGCACTGGGAGGTGACAAGGACATTTGTCTCACATGGGTTTGGGATTCACTGGTTTTCAACCTACAGAAAAAACTGATGTAAAAACTGGTCTCAGGATGTGCTCTTGCAGAAGCGAACGATTCACGCAAGCAAGCACAAGGCTGCTTCAGTGCGGCACGCCCTCACTCGGGCTGCACAGAGGGGGCCTGCTGGAATGGCGTCACACTTCCAAACTGCACCACGCGCGAGGGACCAACGTACCGTGGGTGACAGTTAACAGACCCGACGGTAAACTCAGATCAGTAAGAACCACGGCTAATAGAACGCCGTGTGCGTGGGCACACGCCAACGATTAAACAGGAGAAACCTAAAATATGAGGAAAGGATAGACATTTCTGAAACAGAGCTAAACAGAACTTCTAAAATGAAAAAGCTGCTCGTAACAGGAAAAGCAGTGAAGGAGCTTCTGTTCCTGTATTGGCAGGACTGCGGCACGCTCACCACCGAGGAGAACAGAGAAGTCCAACGAGCTGTTACAAGTCACCTGTTTTTTAAAACAATTCGTAAGCATTTTCAACGGCAGCTGACACATAGTATCACATCTGTTTCAGGCGTGACACGTAGTGACTTGCTATTCACGCCTGTGAAGTCCTCGCCCCAGTGCGCCTGCCACCCCTGCGACAGCGCGCACTGGCCACCGCGGTTCGGACTGTGTCCCCAGGCTGCGCCCCGCATCCCCGTGACTGTGGCAGCTGCCACAGGGCACCTCTTCCTTCCTTTTCCGTTGTCATCCAGCCCCCAACACTTAACCCTCCGGGAACTATGACAGTGTTCTCCGTATTTATGAGTTTGTGCGTTGTTTGTTTGTTTCTTGTGTTTTTTAGATTCCATGTGTAAGTGAGATCCTATGGTATTTGCCTTTCTCTGACTGACGTATTTCACTGAGCATAGGGCCCTCCAGGTCCACCCACGCTGCCGCAAAGGCAGGATTTCTTTATTTTTCATGACAGGGGGATATCCCATTGTGTACATGTACTGCGTCTTCTTCATCCATTCGCCTCCCGTTGGACGCTCAGGCTGCTTCCAAATCTTGGCCATTGTAAATAACGCTGCAGTGAACTTCAGGGTGCGTATGTCTTTTTGAGTTAGCGTTTTGGGTTTCTTTGGATAAATACCCAGAGGTGGAATTGCTGGGTCACAGACTAGTCCTACTATTGATTTTTTGAGGATCCTCCATACTGTTTTCCGCGGTGGCTGCACTGATTTACAATCCCACCAACACTGCAGGAGAGTCCCCTTCTCCCCACACCCCCACCAACACTCACAAACCATCTGTGTGAAGGCATCAGCGGCTAACAGGGCAGAAAAAAAGGAGGCCAAGATCCAGGAGAATCCAGACACCAACAGAGCCGGGTAAGGTGTCTGGAGGCACGTACGTATCCCCAGAGGAAGCAGCCCCCTGAGGTGTGGAGGACCAGAGACTGCCCAGAAGCACGCTCTTCGGCTGGGACCACGGGAGGTCACGTGTTAGGAGAAGAGCTGAACTGGCTGGAATTCCATATGGCTGTCACGTCATGGGAGTTTCGTGAATGCGGACGGAACGACTAACTGAATGCACATAGCACAAAGCACCACAGGTCCTGACACACTATCACGGAAAGTGGGTCACGTGTTAGAGTCTGGACAGGTCTGTGGTCGTTCATGTGTACTTTGCTGTGATTGTTCTTGCCTAGATCAGCAGTGTGGTTTAATAACAGTAGTTACTGGTACAGCTCATGGTCTGCGACATGTACGCTGCATTTTAAATTTCCATCCGTAACTGCTCTGCAGGGTGAAGAATAGACCCCCATTTCATAGCTGAGAAAACTGAGGGTTAGAGAGAGAGACTGAATTGTCCCAACCCTGAATTAGGTGACCAGGAGGTTCCAGAGACCCTCCTTGGAGGTCCTCGAGGCCAAAACTACTTTCATCATAACGCTAAGACGAGATTCATCTTTTTCACGTTGTTGGCATTTACACTGGATTTCTGGAGGGCTGTCGCCACTGCCTAACCGGTGAGAACGGCTCAGTGTGTTTCAACCGCTTTGTGCATAGACATAGTTCATGCCACATACCTGCCTTCTTTGTGGGAGTCTGGGGTCTCGGTGTACGCACGTGCTAAGCAGAGGGTGCCCACACGACTGCCCCCTGATAGAAACCCTGGAGTCCTAGGCTGAGGTGGCTGTTCTGGTGGAAACATGTTGAAGTGGTTGTTAAAACCACTGAGTGTCCCGTGTGACTCCACCAGGACAGGGCCCCTGGGAGTTCACACGTGGTTCCCTCCAGACTCTCCTCCATGTGCCTTTTCCCTCGGCTGACTTCGCTCCGTACCTCCGTGTTACAGTGAATCACGGCCACGGGCACAACTGTGTGCTGAACCTTGTGCGTCCTCTTGGCGAATTACTGAGCCTGGGGTGCTTTTGCGCACCCCACACACTCGACAAACTCCACATGGAAGACACTCCAAAGTCCACGTCAAGACACATCACTGCAAACTCCTGAGAACTAAAGGTAAAGTCTCGAAAGCAGCTGGAGAGAAATAAATGTTACCTAGAAACATTTCCAAGGAACGCCCATCTGAATGGCAGTGAGCTTCTCATCTGAGACCATGAGCGGCAGAAGGAAGTGGCTCAGTCATTTCCAAGTGGTAAGGAACTGCCAATCCTGCAGGTGTGTCTGGTTTAACAGTTCCTCAGGAATGGAATAAAAACCGAACTAGCACGCAAAACCGAGACCGACTCACAGATGGAGAGCACACGACAGCTAGTGGGCAGCATGGGGTGAGGGGTGAAGGGACAGAGCCCAAAGGAGGAAGCACTCACGGGCGTGGACAACAGTGTGGTGACTGCTGGGGGGAGTGGGGTATAAGGGGGCTAAATGGTAATGTGAAAAAGTTGAAGACTATATATTTTAAAAATATAAAAATAAAAATAAAAACATTCTTAAAGATTGTGTTGCAAATAGACCTACCTTTAAATAGGCTAAAGAAAGTTCTTCAAACAGAAAGGACACGTTAAGAGAAGGAACTTGGAGCATCAGGGAGAAAGACAAAAACAACAGAAAAAATATGGGTACATGAAATGGTCTATCCTTTTCCTCGTGAGTTTTATAAATTATACTTGATGACCAAAACAAAAATTATAAAATCATCTGATATCAAGCAAAGATGTTGAGAAGTGGGGAAGGTAAAGGCACCTAAGCGGAAGTAAGGGTTCTGCATCTTGCTCACGGGGTAAGATGCTGGGACCGCTGGACTCTTACAGGCCACTGATGACTGTGGTGATACTCAGAGCAACCGCTACAGAACCTACAGATGTACTCAAAAGCACTGTAAATCAATCAAGATGGAACCCTACAAGACGCACAAGTAACCCACAGGAAGGGAAGAAGAGAGAAATGGGGGTGAGAATCAGAGGAAAGAAACAGAAACTAAATAACGAAATGGCAGACTTGAGTGCTGACACAGTTGCCTTAAATGTAAATGGTCTAAATCAGAAGGGCCCACCGCCCATGGGCTGGCACCGGATAACAAAGGCAGTACACCTACCATTTGGCTTTCTGGGGTCTGGTCCCTGAGAGCCTGGGGAGAGATGCTGCTCCTTCTGGGGGGCTTTGCTCGGAGACCTTCTGCCTGGAGACCCTCTGCAGATTCTCTGCTCGGGGCTCTGGGCCACGTCACCGGTGGACGGCTGGGTGCTGGGGCCCCCACTCCGCCTGTGGGGCTTGGCCTGGGTGCTGGGCAGACAGGGGAGGGCTCGGGGCCTGCAGGAGTCGGGACTCAGCCTTCCCTTCTGCTGTTCTGCTTCTCTTCGCTTGTTTTCTTCCTCTCGCTTCCTGAAGCAAAGCCAAGGAAGAAGAGGAAAAAATTAAAAGAGTGTTAACCACTCAAGCGTTCCTGAGTGAGACTTAAACTCCAGGAGGAGCTGCCATGTCACAGGAGGGATTCGGAAATTCACATTTTTGAGAGCAGGCTTTTCTCAGGCTTCACAGTTCACGGGAAGATGGAGCTGCAAGAACCTTCCAGGGCAGCCTGTTGAGGCATCATGACGGATGACTAGGGGGCTCTGCGGGAGACCCAACACAGCCCCAGGGCGTGCGTCCCCAGGCCCCGCCTCCCATCCCAGAGAGCGCACCCGAATACAACTGAGCATGGCGACCATAAGAAACCTTTCATTTTCTACTAAAAAGACCACTGGCAACAGTTCAATTCCCAGCCAGGGCACATGCCTGGGTTGTGGGTGTGCGAGAGAAGCAGCTGATCTATGGTTCTCTCCATCATCGATGTTTCTCTCCCTCCCTTCCCCTCTCTCTCAAAATAAACTTAAAAAACTATTTTTACAAAAGACCACTGGCAGATCTTAATGATTATACGAAAAAATCACAAAGACCTCACAGCTGATTATAACACATTTTTGAGGTGCAACCCTTCGCCGAGATTTCTCATTAGTCAAACCTACTCTTTTTGTGGATGGGGTCCCAAGGGCAGGATGATTTTTACGTCTTTGGAGTAAAATTCACAAACACCCAGACCATGTCCATTGTGGAAGAGCTGGGCCCTGTTTTGCCTCTTCTGACCTTTGGACAGCAGGCACTCAAGACACACAGCCTGCCCAGCTGGTTTGGTCACTGCACAGGAGGGGAATCTGGGAGCCACGTAGAGGGTCAGTTAGAGCAGATGAGTAGGGGTGGGGTGGAGGGAAGCCAGCACTGGGAAGTTTGAGAACTCTCCCGGTCCTGCCTCTGCCAATGACCACAAAATGCCCTTGAGTGAGTCACCTTCCCGTGGAAGACTTGGTCCCCACCCCACCCCCCTAGTCTAACACTCACACGACAGCCTGCGATCCTGAACTGACTCAGGGACCTGTTTGGGACCCAGATGTCTTTGTAAAATCGGGGACAACTTTTGTAATGAGACGGAGAGATTTCTTTGATCCGAGTGGCTGGTATCAGAGTCCCTCGCAGAAGGGGACCTTGTTTGGACACTGTAGTAAGGCTGGGGTCAGGACTGAGGGCTAGTGGGGGTGGGATCCTCAGAGTCTCCAGGGTGACTGGCTCTGAGGCTCCAGAGGAGAGGGCTGCTCTGTCACGACACAAAGAATTTGTTTGTAGCTCCTAACAGGGAGGGAGGCAATGAGAGAATGAGAGAGAGAGAGAGAGAGAGAGAGAGAGAGGGAGGAGGGAGAAAGAGAAGAGAGAGGCTGGGCATGCAGAGAGCAGGGGCCAGGGCACAGACACGCTGCCCACGGTAAGGTGACAGAAACGGACTTTGGACCTGTGCTCCTCACACTGTAATGAACCGTATCTCCCGCTATCTCACCACCATCTAGATTCTGATTTAGCAAGCCTGGTGTAGGGCTCATGTTTCTGCATTTCTAACCAGAACCAGGGTTCCTTTGACTGCAACTGGAGCACAAGGATAAGATAACATGAACATCTTGTATGGTCTGTCAACTATGCCATTATGGGACGGGAAGTGTCATTCTCCTCAATGGCACCAACTTTCAGTAAGGTCCACCATGTTCACACATGCTTTTCATAAGCCACCTGATAAACTGCAGAGGGAAGGTAACCAGACACAGAAGCAAGAGCTGTGGCACAGACCCCAGGCCCCCAAGAAGTCCCAGAATTCAGATTTCCACAGACTGGAATTTGAAGCCAAGCTTATTCATATCTCAAGGGACAGGGAAGACCCAGATGGTAGCTCTCTGGGTCTCTGACATAAAGCCTGTCGACTGAACTTGCCCTGCTAGAAGGTCCTTCTTCCTGCGGTAAAGCTCCCAATCTGGGGTCCAAGCCTGATTATCTAATAGTTTCCACTGAGTCCCTTCCCAGAGCAAGTGGCTGGACGGTCCTATGTTTATTTGATTCTGGTTTTGCTGCGTGCTTTGCCAGCTGCTCACACTCTGCGTGCGCACTGCAGTTGGCGGGTGAGCTGGGCAGCCCGTCATCGTGGGAGCCTGAGACGCACACGGCTGCCAGCAGGTGCCATTGTGGTGGGAGGGATCTGTCTGGGACAGGAAGGTGGAGGCATCTGGGGGGTGACATGCTGCTAACTGATCTAACAGCCTCGTTCCTGACAGGCAGAAGAAGAGCTGCTCTTTTTATTTGCATTGACCGAAAGGACTGCTCTGAGAGAACACTGGTCCTCTAGACAGACACAGGCATGTGGCTGTCTGGCTTGGCATATACATGGATCTCACTGCCATTAACGGGGCTGTGAGGTGATAAATTAGACTTTGTTACATGAGTGGTCATTTCTCTTTCTCTTAGGAATGCAAACAGCTTTCCTTTCCAATTCCAAGAAGTCACGCACAACCAGCCCCTGAGCGAACCTTGTCATGGTGGGCCTTTCTGGGCCTGCACCGAAGGCAGCCACAGGACAAACAGGACTCTTTGGAGTCACTGGGATGTCCAGATAGCCAGGGGCTCAGCTTTCTGAAGACTTCTTGAAGGGGGGTGGGTTTGCAGGGGGCTGTTTTTCCATTTCGGTTAAATTACAGAAGCAGATTTGGGAGAAAGAACATACTCATCAGAATATATAATTTAAATACCCCTAGCAGCTTATGAATAGAAGTATATTAATGTTTTTTTTTAATTGATGCACTTTAAGTTTAAAAAAACATTCCAGGTGGCACACAGCCCATAGTTGTGCAGGTAGGTCTCCCAGAGCTGGGGCTCTTGACGTGAAAGTGTAATCACTGGGGTGAAGGGGGCGACTGAAACAGGGAATTACGCATCAGCTACATCCTGTTTTGTGTATTCTGCTACCGTAAAACGAAAGCAACAGCAACACACACGACACAGCTGCTGGGGGTGGGCCGTGATGCCGCACGTGTGTCTCTGTCTATCTGGCCAGCGAAGCCCAGGGCTGCCGCCCATAGTTCAAGAGCCTGAAGGGAGCACAGAGTGCGGAGGACGGCACTCCTGTTTGGTAGGTGAGGAAACGGAGGCGGGGAGATGAGCGACTTACCGAAGCTACATCGTCAAACACACAGCTGAGCGAGAACTCAGCAGCTTCACGTCTCCCTGCAAAACTCACCTCATTGACAAAATTGTTTTGTTTTTTTTTAAATGTCACTCAGTCGTTTCCCATCATCTAAAAAATGAATTGGGTCAAATGAAGAAACTGGTCAGATCGCATGCGAGGAACCTTGCTTCCAGCGTGGCTATTGGCCCAAACCTCTCAGGCTGCACAGCGGTCCTGCAATGTGAGTGTTTCTTCTCCAGATGGTTTACTGCAGAACACCAAAGTCCTTTCATCTTCATTGTGGGCTACGCTATAAACTTGACATATTTGTGTAAAGTTTAGGAAACAAATACCAGAAAAAGAACCAATACTACTGTAGTTCATGGGAAAAAAGGGATCCTGTCCAGGACACAGCAAGCACCGTTTTAGCAGGGAATTTGTCAACAGGGCAGGATCTTAGTGTACAAAACAGTCCCACAGTTTCCTATTATTGTAAGGGGAAATGGCCAGACAACAGTGTTTGATGGGCTGCCAATCAGTCTGGTTTGTGCTCTTTACTGGAGCGATTTTTGCAGCTCCCCAGAGGCTCACGGTGTGATGAGGTGAGACAGTCCACTGGGGACAGAGCTTTGACAACATCTGCTGCGGGTCCGAGCAACATGGGGTGGAGAGGGTCTCCCGGTGACGGGCTGGCGGACTGGCGGACCTGGAGCTGGCCCACCCGGGAGAGGAAAGGTTTAAGGGACACGCTGCGGCTGCAAGCCACTGACGGGCTATTGTGGAGCAAAGGCGCACCCTGGGACCCTGAGGCCCCCAACCAGATCTGAGACCCACAGGTGGGGATTTACACAAATTAGTGGCTCAGATGACAACTGCCAAAAAAGGGGGGAAGTGACAAGAAACCAAGGAATCAAAAGATGGCCTGATGTGCAGAGAACCACACCAAGGGCAGCGACTTAAATGGCCTGGCTGGGCAAGGACGCCAGCGTCTCAGCATGGGGCGCACCTGCGGAGGGAGGAGGCTGCCTCTGGGCCTGGAGAGTCTGAGTCCCAGAGTGAGCACTTCTTCCTACCCCACACCACAGGGCTTCTGCAGAGTGCTGTGTTCGCCCAGTTCGGCCGGAGGGCAGTTAATTATATCAGGCGCTGCAGAAATAGGCAGGCTTTTCCTCATTCAATGTGTATTCAAGTTTCCATGACCATAGGGCCTACAAGAAGTCAGAGAGATGTGATTGATTAAAATGGTTTCCACAGATAAGGGAGAGCTAGTCAGTGTGTCTTGTTGTGCCGATTTAACCGGGCTTTGCCCTACCGTCGTTCTTGTTCACAGTCCTGGTGGAGGCTTGGAGCCAGCTCATTTCCTCAACTTCCTTAAGGATTTAGGAGGATACTGGCGTGCTCTGCTACGTTAGCTGTGAGAGCGGCAGGAAGACTTTTACTGAGCTGGGTTGCAGAACTGATGATGGCGACGTGGCGCCCCTCTCTCAGTCCCTGGGAACAACACTGGCACAATGGCCTGAGCACTGGGGCAGGAGGAAAGCTGACTCGGGGGCCTGGTTCTGCCACCAGCGGTTACACGTAGGGTGGAAGTCAGAGACAAGAGGCCAGAGCTGGTCCACGCTGGCCCACCAGAAGGGTGCTGGGATTTGGACACAGTCCCGAGCGTAAGCATGGCTGGTAGGATGATTCCCGCGACCCACACATCGGTGGCTGAGGGCAGCACGGAGACTCACGTGCCACCTCTCTCCCTCACTAGCGGTGTGATTTCAGGCGAGTTGGCCTCTGTCTGCTATTTGTCCCATCTACTTTACTGTGCTATTGTATGGATTTAGTGAACTAAGAATTTTGTAAGCTGCAGAGCAGTGTA